CTGCCGTCTCTACACTGCAGTCCCGTATTTTTAAATATATCCAGGACGATTTCATTGACATAATTGTTTAAAACCTTATAAATTAGACTTACAGCTAATGTGAAAGTCTTGATTCACTGGCCCCACCGTAAAATGCCAATCCACGAGTCTCGGCGATTTCACATTAGTCGCCTCGAGAAGTTCATCTCTTCAAACAATTGTTAAATCTGTCTAATGAATTGTTTTGAATTAATAATTTCTCAACACAGTTATTATTTGCTGCGGGATCACTGTGTTTAGTAGCAAATCAGTGTTACTCAGATTTGATATTTGTGATTGACTTAATACATTATAAGACACTCAATTGTAATTTATTACAAACACTATTATAATACTATAGTGATAACATATTGGACTTAATTAAAATTATATATATATTTGACAGACATTATAGTAGTATTTCTAATTGTTATTACAGTAATATTGATTTTGCATTTTATGATTGTGTTGCAACATATAATATACATTTACTGATGGAATAAACTCTGTTTCATCTAGTTAGGAGAGATTCGATGGCCAAAGCTGAGTGGTTCTCAAGGAACAGAGGTGGAGGATGAAGAGATGCGGGCAGGCTGACTCTTCAAGAGGAAGCTACCATGCGGAAAGGAGACCACGTATGGCCATGGTTGACGTTGTCGTACAAGGCCAAGACTTTCTAGGATGTAAGTATAAAAAAAAAAACCTTAATGATTTAAGTGAGAGCTGCCCCAGAACTCCTCAATTTACTGTATATTTCCATTTTGAGGTTTGATTACTGCAATTTGATTGTAATGGTAGTAATTTAGGATCAGCTTTTCCTGGGTCTCATTTCAACTCCCATGGTAGGTTTATAAATTAGATGTATTGTGTTTGACTATGTGAAAATGTAACGTCTCTAAAAGCATTGGATCATTGATGCCAGATTTCAACGATGTGTTACATATCATGGTATCTTGAATGATACACAAATAGTAGCTTCTGTTGACAGCTGTGTTAAATTTCATATCATTACTATCTCAAATGTGCTTAAATCTAATAGGTAAATACTTCCAACGAAAGTGAGCAAGTTTGATACTCAAAATTGTTCACTAGTATACTAAAAATGGTATTTCCATGAAAGTGTCAATTTAGTATCCCTGTTTATTACGTGTCAAAGAGAATCAAGTGAATTCAATTGACAGCTTGTTGACGTTTCTACATCTTTATAACTCAAATCCTGCTGATAAAGTATCAAGGCATTCTAATGGCAGTACTAATATTTCTTTTCATTAGACGCTGGCCAGAAATAGGAAACTTTCTATTATCATATGTGCAGTGGTATTACCATAGTGCAATATTTCCATAAATGTTTAACACAGCAGTATCTTCATTTTAGTAATAAGATTTCAGTCGCATAACAGTACTACCCCACCAATTATAATTTACCAACTATGTGTTGCAATAGTATGTAGTATCATAGTTTATAATTAATCCTTGATTAGCTTGTAAACTTTACAATTTTAGGAGAAAAATCAAAATCACAGTGAAAATAATTATTGATCATTTTGTAAGATATGCATTATAGATTATCATTTGTTTCAGTATGTAATCAAAAAATTACATCCTCAGGAGCATAAAACCATAGCAATAAGGCTAGTCTAGTCTTAGCCTAGGCCGCAACGGTAGAAGATGAGTCTATTCAAGTCCAAGTGTTTATATCAATTGAAATTTGTTTTCTATGACATCGCATCTGCATTGGAGTTTGTTTTGTCCTTTCAGCTGACAAGGAAGAAGCTGCAAGCAGGTAACCTCTACTGAAAGGTAGCCTATCCTGATAAGAAGCAGGAAAAAGAAAGCTGATGCTGAATCAGAACCCAAAAAAAGGAACTCACAACCCTGGACAAAGCTACAGAACTCCACAAAGGTATGCAATACTTTAAAAGGACACAATCTCAGAAAAGATGAAGTTGATAAAGGATTTGTTAATTGTAGATTTCAATTCTTAGTTCAAAACATGCCCAATACTTCAAGACATGTTACTTTACACGCCTGTCATATGCGGTGAAGTTGTCCCATCTTGCCGGTGTCTAGCATGCTCGTGAAATAACCCATAATGCCAACATTGCAGGCTTGGCTTTAGGGAGGATAGATTAAGATAATATTGGCTGGTAACAGCATATGACATAAATCAGCTTGACAAAACCCAAATAGGTATCTCACTTCATGAAGTCTAATTTGATCTGCTGTGGACTAGATATTAAAGATTTTTAACTAGAGTGTGCATATAAAACTTCAAAGTAACTATTCATAAGCAAAACTTGATGAGGATTTCAAGCAATCAATATTGATTTCACCCTACTCAAAACTACTATGTCAACTTTCCCTCAAGTAACAAATCAAAGAGTGACGTAATCTTTATGACAAGTTTACAACATTACGCTACATTATATATGTTGGAAATTAATGTAATTTTACTGACAATTACTTCTAAAGTTCTTATGGGCAAGTGTATAAAATCCATCAGGGCCTGTGGCAAGTAAACATGGATGAAAACAAGTAATTTGAATCCTTGTCATAAAACAAATTTAAAACTGTTTTTACTCATCACAAATATAATTGACTGCAAGACCAGCTTTCAAAGTAAAGAAGTTTTGATGATAAGGAAGAGATAATGATGTTTTGTATGAAATAATTCAAGTATTTTTTTATTGTTAAAATTATATTGACTTTATTAGCTTTTAAAGATATACTGAAATTTTAAAATCATATTTCAGAAAAAGAACCCAAGACTACAAAGGCAGCTGAGAAGAAGGCCCAGATTAGAGCCCAGGAGAAGATGGTGGAGGAGCTCCTGGCTGGTGCAGTACCGGCCATGGAGACAGTGTGATGAGGTGGAGGAGCTGAAGCTGAGCCTTGAGGAGAAAGATAATGTCATCAAGGAGAAGGAAGAAATCATAAAGGAGAAGGAGCTGTTACTAAAGGAAAAGGAGCAGTTACTAAAGGACAAGGATGAAGAACTCTTTGCCATGAAAGCCAACCTTTGCTATGAGACTTGAACAGCCAAAGACAATTCCATGCCCATGCAATGGTGCTCTGGCATCCTCTCTGAGGGTCAGAAGGTGTTCAAACTTTATTAGTCAACTGGCAGAATTATGTCCAGTCATAGAAGCCGCAGAAACACTGCTCATGAGCCAACCAAATCATTATATATTCCTCGACCTTCTGCTTTCTCCCTCCCATCAAATCCAGGCTTAGCGAGTCCACCAGCCCCACCACCGCCTTTCCCATCACTGTCACCTGTGTCACCCCAGGCAACCACTCCGTCATCACTATCATGTGGGCTGACCTTGTTGACCCTTGGCGGAGGGGTAATGGTGAAGAAAATAGTCCTAGATCGCCATGCCTTTCTTCTGCCAGTGGGATCGACTTCCAAGCTGGTCAGAAATTTGCTTCATGCATTTTTTCTGACCAGGAGCTTGTGAGAATCATCGGCAGAAGGGAAGGGGACGAAGGCTGCTTGCTACAACAAATGATAGTGGCAGCAATAAAGGGTAATTCTATTAAAGACCTTGCAAAATTTAGCCCAAAAAGTGTAAAACCATATGGAAATATAGAATTGAACATCTCTATACATTGTATTTATATACAATTATTGTGTTATGCAAGTTTGTGTAAAAGGTCCACAGCAATGAAATATAAACAATTGTAATAAAAGTTACAATGGATATTTAAATATATTCATATAAGGAAGGTAAAGCAAACTAAATTCTTCAATGTACCTTTGAGCAGTGTGTGTTCTACTCAGTTATAAATTGTTTGTACCACATCATTTATACATAGATAAAAATCTTTTTAAACAGTTCTACATTTCAAGCTACTTTGCACCAGTTATCAAATGAGATATTGTAACACTGTTGATACAAACATTGTCAATATTGTGCAACATAATACAGCTAAGTTAAACTGATTTTAATCAATCTTTTCATTACAGGGTTTGTGTTATCAAAGAGCCCGAAGACAACCGAGAGAGAATTGGTTCAAATCATCAACTGCCAGTGTGCGGACTCACGGAAAAAGAACAGGAACCGTGTGATCACTACTGACCTCTGACTGATACAGGTTGCAGGGCACCAGATAAAGGCCAGTAAAAACTATATCTGTGTAAAGCATTAGCTCAAAGAACGCAATGCATTGAAATCCTCATGTTTGAAATGTTTCACAATAAATACACTTGTTTGTTGTGATCTAATTAAAGATGAATAATATGTCTAATGCCTGTATGTTGAATTTTGTTTGTTGAATCAATATTGCTCTTGCTCACATGGCCAACTGAAGAGAGCTTTTGTTTCTAATAATATTGTGTGACATCACGAAGGTAGTATAACAAGAAAATGATCATTTACAGATGGATTTTACAATAATAACTTTGACTTCCAGAACCTGTCAGACATTTTTTATTGAACATTTGAGGTGAGGTAAACCCTCATTTTTGGTGTTTAATGCCGCTTTCAAGTGTTATTGCAGGAGAAAGCCTGCAATGCCAGTGTAACTTTAGCGTTGCTGTGAAACTTGGTCATCAGCAGCTGTAACTATGGTTGGTACTGGTTGAATATCACATGAGAATCTTATATAGAATCTTTATAAGTTTCTTATAAGATTCTTATAAGTATCTTCTAAGTTTCTTATAACATTCATTTATATAGAATCTTATAAGAAACATATAAGAAACATATAAGAATCTTATAAGAAACATATAAGAATCTTATAAGAATCTTATAAGTTCTTATCTACATTTCACATACAAAATTCTTATAAGTTTCTTATAAAAACTTATAAGAATCTTATAAGAAACTTATGAAACTTATAAGAATCTTATAAGAAACTCTATAAGAATCTTATAAGAAACTTATAAGAATCTTATAAGAATCTTATAAGAAACTTATAAGAATATTTCGTGATGGGAATACTCTAGCTAGTAGGGAGACAGACAGCAGATGATGTAGGTGTAGAAGTGAGCTAGTATACTCTAGCTAGTAGAGAGGCAGACAGCAGATGATGTAGGTGTAGAAGTGAGCTAGTATACTCTAGGTAGTAGAGAGGCAGACAGCAGATGATGTAGGTGTAGAGTGAGCTGAGCTAGTATAGAGCAGACAGCAGATGATGTAGGTGTAGAAAGTGAGCTAGTATACTCTAGTAGTAGAGGCAGACAGCAGATGATGTAGGTGTAGAAGTGAGCTAGTATACTCTAGCTAGTAGAGAGGCAGACAGCAGATGATGTAGGTGTAGAAGTGAGCTAAGTATACTCTAGCTAGTAGAGAGACAGACAGATGATGATGTAGAAGGTGTAGAAGTAGAGAGGCAGTTGTATAGCTCTAGCTAGTAGAGAGGCAGACAGCAGATGATGTAGGTGTAGAAGTGAGCTAGTATACTCTAGCTAGTAGAGAGGCAGACAGCAGATGATGTAGGTGTAGAAGTGAGCTAGTATACTCTAGCTAGTAGAGAGGCAGACAGCAGATGATGTAGGTGTAGAAGTGAGCTAGTATACTCTAGCTAGTAGAGAGGCAGACAGCAGATGATGTAGGTGTAGAAGTGAGCTAGTATACTCTAGCTAGTAGAGAGGCAGACAGCAGATGATGTAGGTGTAGAAGTGAGCTAGTATACTCTAGCTAGTAGAGAGGCAGACAGCAGATGATGTAGGTGTAGAAGTGAGCTAGTATACTCTAGCTAGTAGAGAGGCAGACAGCAGATGATGTAGGTGTAGAAGTGAGCTAGTATACTCTAGCTAGTAGAGAGGCAGACAGCAGATGATGTAGGTGTAGAAGTGAGCTAGTATACTCTAGCTAGTAGAGAGGC